AAACATACTTAAAAGGGGGGAAAGTATTTATATCTTAAGTCTTTTATTCAGTAATTTGTTAAATTTGAATTTTTTTAGGTGACAGATTGAACATAGCTGCAAGTTTAGCCTCTGAAACCCAATTGGACATAACCTGGCCTTTGACTGGGCCATGTTGACATACTGTACAGTATGATTATTCTTTGTCTGATCTATTGTTTCTCTGATGATATTGGCTTGTTATGATGCCAGATGGTGAGCCTCCATTCCAGTCTTATAAATATTTTGAGCTTCTAATAGGATTTCCTTCATGTTCACATCAACTATTCATTGTACTTTTTCCACCACACTCGATATTTCTCTCCTAGCAGCTTACTAGTTTATATTGATGACCATGTCTTGGTAACCGTGTCATCCTCTTTATGTCTAGATGATGGATGGAGCATTGATCTTAGAGATGTTCAAAAAGTGACACACAGTTATATAGCCTAGCATTGCTTTAAAAATCTTCACACCATAACCTAACTTGTCTGCTGTGTTCCTTGCTCTTCATGTTTGTTACCATACATTCTCCAACAAACCTCCATGGCTTTTACAATACAGCTGATTTCATACTGAACATTAAATCACAGAAAAGGAAAAATATCTACAGATTAGAAACCTTCTAAAACAGTTATATTAAGGTATTAGTGTGAAGCAGGCTGGACAGAAACGTCAAAAACACAGTTTGTGGTGTTAACATGTCAAAATTGGGGTATTTATACTTGACACTGCACTGTAGACTGAACTACCTTGGAGAATTCTGCAAAGGCCTCAGCGGAAATATAAAACTTAGCCACACGCATGGACGTCCCATAACTCACAATGTAATATTGTTTGAGCGTTGCCGAGAGCAGCACAGGCCTCATAACACTCACTGGTTACCTTTAAAGGCAAAGCAAGAGGGTAGAGAACAATAAGGAAAAGGCAATAAATCTAAGCTCTCTGAATGTTTTTACAGGCTGAATCTGATAAAGAAATCAGGGCTTTATTCCATCCGGACGTGACCATTAGCCGAACTGAAGAAAGGCCATGGGAGTTTGGACCATTTCCCCAGCCGCTTTCCATTTCCAAGTGAGGCACACTGCCGAAGGCTGAGGACAAAGGGCCTCCCTGCCATCACATCAAGGACATCTTCCGCATGTCACCCTGCCTATAGCTTTTTTTTCCAGGATAACGATTGTACCAATATGCCTGAAGGACCCACCTGTGTGGAAAGTTCCAACCTGGTGGTGCTGCTGGAAACCCAACCCTGATAAGTCTGCTTTCAGGGAACGGACGATCGAAACTGTGATTGTATCAAGTTAACGTGCAGGCTGTTCCATCTCCGTCCTTGTGTGCACTTGAAGGAAAGTTCAAACACACCCAGATCCCTTTTCAACGCTCCCATTCCTCCCAGATTCAAGAAACTGTGGTCCAAATTCAGTGGTGCAACATTCAGAGCGAGTTAGGAGAGATGAGGCTTTTCATGTACAGTACTGTACAGGCCTTTTTGACATTATTGTCAAAGAAAATCAGGGAGCTTTTTACTTTGTTTTCATCGACCGACTGATCCTGGTCGGTTACTGTTAATGGGGAGGACTGCTTATACTTCCAGCCCTAAATGCACAGTGCCTTGGACCCTTTAAACTATTTGGACCTGGCATATTCAAGAGCGTATCAGTACCAAACACACAATCCAAAAAAAGACTGGCTGTCGTTTGTATCGGGTTCAGAACTGTGTGTTTGTGTCAACCCCCGCCCCAATAGAAATAAGTTAAGGGTTTCCACGGATTCCAAGGCCTCCCGGCTTCAACAAAAACATCTGTGGTTTGGATTAGGTACGTCGGTGATATCATCTCTTCACTAATATGCCTGCGTTATAGCAATCTTACAGCCAGTCCTTATTGTCTGTGAAGTTTATGCATGCGTGCGATCCAACACAAATGATGATCAGCGCTGCAGGACAAGCTCTCTGGCAGCAGCGTTTGTTTTAATTCATTTACTCCTGATGTTTTATTTGCTTCATATTTCTTAAGGTCACACTAGCAAGCTCAGTTCAATGTTTCTGAAAAGCCTCGGAAATTCTCCAAAAACATAAATGTTAACATTCTAAATAGATAGCATTTATTTAGAAGATTGTTTTTCTTTTTTTTAAGTAGTGCTGGATGGCATGGCTGTTTCTCAGCCTTTTCAAACAGTATGAATCATAATATTCTGAAATGTATCCTATCTATGTCTGCTTGAGCTTGTAGATCAGAATTGTAACATTCGTATATATTACTTAAATTTAGACATGTATTAAAAAAAGTTTGAAAGGTAAAAAGCAAGCACAAGCCCGCATTGGAATAATGAAACTAAACGTAAGAAAGCATTCTGGAGCATTGGTTCAAAACAATCTCTACATAAGAATGATTTATTCTGAAGGAGGAAAACGAAATGGAAATATGGTGTGAAGCTTGGAGGCCTTACAGAACGGTACCAGAATTAAGGATTTAAAGCTCTCTGTCCCTAACCTGGTTTATCTGTATATCTCCTGATCATCATATCACAGAAAAGCTTTCATGTTGTATAATTTCTGCTTTCCTATGAAAAATATGGCAACAGTGAATACATTTAATCGGTTTATCTTTTAATCCCTTGTCCCCCTAATGTCTCCCAGTTTTAAGTTCCTGATTTTCTTTTTGATCGGTTCTGGGTCACGGCTTCCATGTTTTTTCTTCTTCATTACATTTTGCAAGAAATTATCTCTGCCTCTCCGTCTTTGCATCTTGGTCCTCATCAAGTAGCAACTAATCCTGACACGATCATACAGCAAATCCAGTTAAATTCTGTCGTTTGGTTCAGACACAGAAAAAAAGAAGTTCATTGCTGTAGATGATCATTTTAGGAGCAATGTTTGCAACAAACAGGTATTGCTTTATGTAGACATAATCTGAGAAAGGACATCTGAAAAGCAAGCCTCATATAGACCAGGTTTGTATGAATAACTGCTTTAAGCTCCAAAATATTCCAAAAATGTCAAGTTAGCTTTCCATAAGGGATGCAGAAACACAATACCAAGAATTATCACTTCACAGTTTGCTTTCGAATTGCAGGTTTATTGGTGGTTCCTACTGTTTCTAAAAGCAAATAAGGGAGGCAGATCCATTAGCTATTAGGCTTGATCCCTTTGAAAGCAACTCTTATTTTTTGCTCATGAGGCAAACGCCATGTCAGATTTTAACACTTTTTTTTAATGTCTTCTTTTTCATAGGGTTATAGCTACCTTAGGTTATGCCTCTAGTTAGGCTGCTATAGACTTAGGCTGCTGGAGGACAGACTAACCACCATCCCTTCACTACTTTATTAATATTTACACTTGTATTATTTTAATTTTGTTATGATTTTTACATTACATTCTCTGTTTTTTTACTTTTCTCATCACAGAACCACCACCACAGTTCTAAATTAGCACCAGTTAAAAAAAATCATATTTAATTGAAAATCTGTGGCCTATGTGCTCCAGGTAACCTTCCATTTAAATCAAGATATTTCACCAAATCTTAGGCAGTGTGAGCATAAATTTAGGCATTTATTTATAATTTTGTCTCTACAGGAGATAAAAGAGAACATACAATAAAGTTAAATTGCATTTAAATGTGTACATTTACTTACTGCTGGTTATCTGTTGTATGATCGTTCCCTCCAGAAAAATGAAGAGGTAGATGCCTTTTTAAGGCCTTCATTTTGTGAAACACTACAGCAAAGTGTTTCTTGTAATATATGTATATATATATATATATATATATATATATATATATA